AATTTTTCTAAACTTCGAAAATATGTCACATGGGCCATATTATCCGCTGGGCCATATTTACCTTTTTTTTATACTCCAACTACCACGAAGATCTAAGGCCTAAACACCCATTGGGCACCGTAGGGCTATAGGGGGATACAGGGGAAAAGCATTCCTGAGGCTTAACTGCTGAGGCTTAACTGCTTTATATTTTTCTCTAAAAGCCAAGGAAGATAAGCAAATACAAAGAGGATATAATATTAACAATGCTGAAAGTACAGATGTTGAGAACGATGATAGTGAAGAACACAAAGATGAATATAATTTGAATGACTCAGATTGGCATTAAAGAGGGTTTTTCGACCATCTGTTTGAAAAATGCTGTAATATTTCAATAAATGTCCTACTAAGTCTATAGGCAAAACTATAGTAAGTCAATAAAATTTTTAAAATATTATAATATATATATATAATATAATACTATTTATTACCTTTTATATACAAGGATTACTGCAATGTGCAACATATTTTTGATGAGATCGTCATTTTTCTAACAACGAATTACATCAGAATATCTGATAATGCCTATATCTCACTTCGACCAAAACTGAGTTACAATAGTCTTCCCTGCAGCGGTCGATATGTTTGTTTATATAGTCTGGTTGAACTCAGTTGATGACCTAAACAGCCCCAAACGTTGCAAATTTAGGAAGTCGTAAACAAACTCGTGTTTTTGAATACAACAGCTACCACTTCAAGCAGTATTTATAAACAAAACGTGTGACCGGGCAGAACTTGAAATTCCTTACCAAATTAAGAGTGAGTAATACTTATCCACAATTTCTTTTTTATGTTCTCGGTGATGTTTTGCCGCAAATTAGCTTTGGCATTGTAAATGTAGTGAACTTTGAAAAAGAATGCTTAAACTTTCAGGTCACCCTGTATATAATTATGATACGGCATTGTTTAATTTGCCAATCGACACATGACACTATACGTAATTATCAAACACTATAATATGTAATTGTCAACTTTCTCGTTATTCATAGTGGATTAGTGAATTCAAGAATAGTTTTAAAAACGTGAATTAGAGTACGCTCTATTACAAGTAGTATCATGTTTATTAGTTAAGAATCTTGTCGTTCTCGTTCTGTCTGCAGCATCCGCCATCTTGATTTCAAAGCAATCGAAATCATATTCATTGTGCCCAGGTAGATGAAAATCTGACGATCTGCACCTACCTACGTTCTGTGCTAAGCTCACTGTCACGGCGGACTGTCAATATGGAATAAAAGGGCAGCCCAGCAATGGCTTTCTATGCACATATACATATATAAAAATGCTGAAACGGACATGTTTGCTTTCCGTCTCTGTAACCATGACCAGCCGCAGACAGCGCTCTTCCGTGCTCTTTAGGCACCTTTGACAAACCGTTATATCTTCACCCACTTGCGCACAATATTTTGAGCTTACCATACCCACTTGTTTGCTTCTTGCTTCCCGTTTTGTCTGTCTGCGAGAGTAAGGCCTAAGCACCCATGGGGTACCGTGGGGCTATAGTGGGATACAGGTGAAATGGGGGAATGCCACACGGACTCTGGCGAGGGAACACGTGTGCATGCAACATGCACACATTCTGGCCCCGCCTACGAGATCCGCCGGGTGGTACCTCTGCGTTCGACAGTCAGAGACCGTCCACCACCCACGGACAATCATAACATCCATAGCCAATGGAAAAATTTCGCTTTGGACGGGATTCGAACCCGCACAGCGCACGGCGACTGATCAGGAGACCGAAGAGTCTACTTCTGCGGCCACCGCTGCTGCCTGGCAAGTTTAGTGTTCGTTTTATAAACTTACCCCAGAAAAAATCTTATTTTGTGCTCTTTTCATTCAATACACAATCTCCTGTCTCCAAGACTCGGTTTTAGACCTATACTGTATTGGCGAGTTGCTAAAGAGCACCAAACAGCGCTGTCTGCGGTCGGTCATGGTTACCGAGACGGTAAGGGAACATGTCCATTTCAGCGAACATACTCATTATCAACGACCATATGAACATAAAAACCCCAAACTTGAGCACAATGGACATATTTTTTGCGACCATATCCGTCATGTTGGATGTGCTTCTTTGTTTTTTAACTGGATATCATATTCGCTATCAGCGATCTCGAAAACGTAAATGAGGTAGTAGCAGTATCTAGTAGTTGTGGGGAGGCAAAGCATGGCAACTAGGCCACCTTTGACCATTTTGTACTGTACTACTCCAGGAGTCATCTACTAACTGATATAATAAATCAACTCCAACGATGAGATGTACCTTAATATTTCACACGTGCGTGACATAGACAATACAACATCCATGCCAAGGAATTAAATTCCGAGGCGGAGATTCGAACCTGCAAGCCCCGGATTGCTAGCATGACGCGCGGATTACCGCGCTACCGAGGATCCCGTAAATAAAGCTTTTTGGTGAAATTTAGTGAATCTCTCCAGTTTTGACCACGATTTGCGACCCATTATGACTCATGTTTTCTCTTGTTCCAATCTGAGAAATGGCGTAAGGTAGGTGGACTGTGGGATTAAATGTTGACCAAATGTTTGTCAAAGGTTCCACTGAGAATCTTTTTATTGAACTCAAACAACAGTGCAACACGTTGTGGAGGTGGATTAGAGGCTGGAAAAATGAATTGCCTCCCTTAACTGCAAGAACTTTGATCAGACTCTGTCAGGAATAAAAATAAAGAGAGAAATCCAAAAACATTAACACGCGTTCATTGATAACCAATATATCCAACTAATCTTTATTGATACTTTTAACGGTAAAGACAGTAGAAAATGCAGGTATAAAAAAGTATCTAGGATGTGCATTTGATACTTGCTCGCATTCAATCTAATTCTTTAATGATTTGGTAGAGCGTATTGAGGTCTTCAATATAATACTGCGGTTTCCATTCTTCTGGATGTCTCCAATTTTCTAAGTCTTTGAGCTTAGCATGTCCACTCAAAACCAATAACTTCTGGTAGCCACCCATTGCAGCCATCTGCATATCTTGCGAAATGCTAAAAAAATAAAGAAATCGCTAAGCTTGGCAGGACTGCCATCCTATAAACCAGAGAACATGCAAAAATACTGCTCAGGAGAAATAAGAGTAGAATTTTAAAAAGTTGCGACGCAAGGGTTATTGTAATGTTTTGTAACATTAAACAACTATGAACACAGCGGCACTAAAATACAGGGTGAGTTTTTGGTGTGGGTCCGTACGATAATGTATGCTGTCTAGAAAACTTGATTACAACAATTTTAGCCAACAGTGCGCTTCTTACTTGGAAAATATTTTTATCTCTACAGGGTAATTAATATAACATCGTGGTCACCGGAATATACATTTTCCCAATGGATAAGTCGACATTTCGTTACAGATTTGGATAGGCCTTTTCAAACGAAGCAATTCTATACAGGGTGTAAACGTTATGATCGTCATTATTCAAATGGGTGATAGAGGGGGTTGAAAGAAGCAGGTTTCATAAACCATGGGGGTCAAAACGGCATTTTTTTAGAGAAAAGCGACTTTAAAGTAAAATAAAGTCTGACAACGCCGCAATGCCAGACGCAAATTACGACCGAACGCAGTGTAAATAAAGATTGAGTTTGTTATTTTTGGCTCTTAGGTATTATTTCATTATTTGATAATGTACTCGTAAAATGCAAACAATTAAAAAAAGACGAACTTACCACTAACTGTCTCTGCGCTTCACCTGGTGTGTGAAAGTTTATTCAATGTATTAAAAAAATCCACTTATAAATATGGAACACAATTTTGATACATACATTGTTTTTCTTTCTAAAGCCCACACTGCACTTTTTTGTATTTAAAGGTGTTCAAAATGTCATCCTTCACTTTCCACACAAGCTTCATTACAACCTTCACGAATGGTATGGGGATTTTCTTGGGCCCACGTGTGAGTATTATTGAAATTTAATATCCCGTCTCGCGTAAAAGTAAATACATTTGTTCGACGCAATATTTGTGTGCAAAAACCGCTGACAGAATGTTAGTCTGTGAGGATAGTCTTCTGGTAACAAGGCCTGGGCTCGTTGTACATGGTAGGGATAAATAAAATTTTCCCATAGGATTCTATGGACTATGGTATGCGATAGTCCTACGCGTCTGCCTAATTCCCGAGTGCTGATATCTGCATTGATTTCCACGATATTTAAAATTTGTTCCTCCTGCTCTACAGTGCGAATATTAGTCGGCTGAACACTTCCTGTATCTCGAAGTCTTTGGTACACTTGCACATATGTCCTTCTGTCTGGGTGTACCCGATGGCGAAATCTGACGCTGCAAGATTTGAATTCTGCCGAGCTTCACTAACAACATATCGGCGAACTCTTGATTCGAGAACATTGTAAATCAAGACAACGACGTACGCGAACAAAAACAAAACAACATACTAACCACTGTTACCGTTTGCGATCGATTGCTGGTTCGATAAGAGTGATGATCGACACGCTCTTGTCTTGTATATTTATTTGTTAATTACAAAATTTAAAAACGTTTTAGATTAGATTATAAAAATTAGTGAGATTGTGGTGATTGTGGTCGATATAAAGCACTTAAAGTTGTAAACTATGAAGCCATTTAGACAAAAATCTATTGACTTTTGGACCATGGGTCATATAAACTTTTTGACTTGTTTAGATCCCCCTATTACCCAATTCAATAATGACTACCATAACGTTTACACCCTGTATAACATACAATTTATGTACGGTTTTATCTTCAAATTACTGAAGTCTTTGTCGCAAGAATTCTACGATCCCATATTTTGTTCCCACCTACTACTTTTTTTACTTTTTGAACGGTCATACAGGATGGTCAAGGACGTCAACATGTTTTAATTGAACACCCTATATATTTTTACGTTTCTTGATTCCCCTTTCCACAGGCTTAGTTTAATATAAGGTTTATGGTAGTTTGTACCATTGATTTTTGAGTTACGGCTTATCCTTTCGTAAAGCAAAGATCAAGGTAAATGAAAAATACCACAAAACCTTTTAAAGTAAAATATGATTTTTAGATGGTAACGGTCGATCTTTCGAATTGATGTATTTTCATCAAACATGAAATCTACTTAGCCTCATGCAATAAAGTCGAAAAGTCAAAAAGCTGTAGCGCTGTGTTTTTGTAGCTCATAGACCAGCGTACAAACTCCCATAAGCCTTAGATCAGAACAAAGCTTGTGAAATGGGTATTAAAAATCGTGAAAATATACAGGGTATTCCATTTAAAAATTGATGACAAATTTTATCTTCTGGACGATCTTATATAAACTATGCAATAAACCCAAAGAGCTAATAGATAGGAATAAATTATAAGTGCATTAAAATATTTTGACAAAGAATTCTGTACTCTATCAATAACATTTTGGAGGTACGACTCAAAGTGTCAGAGTGTCTTTCAATTAAATTTAAGGCTTACCATTGAAAATGTGCATGTTTGGGTCACCACGCAGTTACCCTTTATAAACCCTATATAAACCAAAATATTTCCCAAGTCAGGAGCGTAATGTTGGAACAATTTCTGTATTTAACTTTTTTGGATACCATGCGTAATTACAGAGTTATCGACCTAAAAATTCACTAAACCTGGAAATGTTAACCTAAAAATAGCATTTTCATCAAATAAAACGGATTTAATCACTACTTACTAGTCTCCGATAAAAAGAGCCCGATTTGGTTTCTGGATACCCAGTTTTTTATTGACGTGAGCACAGCTGAGAAGTGACGGCTTGGCAATGTTTATTGGTTTTCGATTGCTAATACTTGAAAGGATCTCTGTGAAGCGTCCTGTACCTTAACAAAAATATATATTTTCAGTAATTTGACTTGCATTAGACACCACAATCGGGCACAAGCCAGCTCCTTCAGAGTTACTTGGCAACGACGTAATTTTTCTGGGAGTTTGTTACAAGACAGAATACACTACTGTGTGATACAGCGTAGAAAAGGTAGCCTGAATTAGTGAAATGTATCATTTCCGTAAAAACTGATATTAAAAAGATCGGAAAGATCTTTGCTTTTTGATGATAGATATAATTCGATAGCCAAGATATTACTGATAACTATACTAAAGAATGTTGAAAAGCTTTGATAAGAGTGTAGATTGCCGTAAAATATAATGTTTTTATCATCTATGGAGTCTAAAGCTCTTCCATTTTTCTCTTCCCTTGCTTCATAATACGAGTATATGCACCATTTACCTCAAGTTATATCAAGGCGTACAAGCATTGTCCAAATGACAGTTCTTTTCATACTTGTTCTTAAAATGCTTTAACATGTTAAATCTGTCCAGAGATCCTAAATTTCCTCGAAATTTTACTATGTTCATAAAAATCCTATATACCAAAAGTTTGGATACACCCAAATATCTCGGAAACTGGGTACTTACTAGAAAAAAACTTGAAAGGAAATCAAATGGCGCATCTAATGATGTCGCTGAATTTGACGTTGACATCCACCTTGTAAGTCATTACAAGGACCAATTGATTTTTTTAAAACGGGAACCCCCTTTTTTATTGCAGAAAGAGAAAGCAAAAACATTTTCTTGAAATTTTCATTCCTGAAGCAGAAGAACATTAAAAGATAACTTTTAATCCAAAAATTGCAAGAGAATCAACGGTACATCTGAATTGTGACCTTGGCTGCGAGCTTAAAGGTGAATACGTGGTCAAATTAATTATTTCACGTGGAAACCCGCAATTTTGTTCCCAGCGCTGAAGATGGAGAACAATTTCAAGTTGAAATACGTTATTTGAAGGTCAAATGGCAAATTACAATTAAGACCACCGGTAGATGTGCCGTTGGATATCCTGTAATTTTTGCTTTGAAAGTTCTTCTTTAACGTACTTCTCTTTCCAGCTATCCTCTGCTTCACATCATTACATGAAAGAGCAGCAATTCACCTTGAAATGACCTTTGGATGTGATTTCAGCCCCTATGATATCCATACCGGTAAAATAGATTTTTTAGCTTTCTATTTTCTGCAATAAAAGTTATACACGAAAAATTCAAGTTGCCCTCAAAATGACCTTTAATGTGAATGTCAAAGTCAGACTCCACATCACGATTAGATGCGCCATTTGATTCACCAAAAATTTTTGTATTCAAAGTTTTTTCTACCACCCTTAGAGATATTTGGGTAGGCATGTTCAAACTTTTGGGGCACCCTATATATTAAAAACATATGTGAAAGGAGTATTAGTTGCATCCTTGGCATAGTAGTTACATTGTGTAGAATTTTTATCGAAATCCAAGCGGCACTTTTATTTATTTATTTATTTCCAACAGGTGAAACCCAATTACAGGAAACGCTGAAAAAAATAGCAATTAAAGAGACATGGTTCTTGGACTTAAATCTATAGTATCACACATTCTAAATAAGATTGGATGATCTATAACAGTTAATAATCGTTGCACAACTGTCACTGTAAATATCACACGATTCAGTAACACTGTTCATGACGCAGCACATGAAATTAATTGGCGATTTTGTCATAACATTTGTACGGCCAGCTTGACAATAGAATGCCATTTGTTGTCGACTCCCTAGCCTTGGAACGCGGAAACATATTTTTTCAAGTAAATTTTGACAGTCAATTTTGTTGTGAATGAGGCCATACAAAAACGACAAAGCAAATATGTTTCGTCTTGTTGACAGTGAATCCAAATTGAAAGACTCTAATAGGGCACTATGGTCACAACCTCTTTCTGGATAAGAACCTGTGCATTTAAGGTGAAAATACTTTAAAGCTTTACGTTGAATGGCCTCAAGGATCACGACAGAATTTTGGTATATAGGAGACCAGATCAGAGTTGCATACTCCAACTTGCTCCTGACAAAAGTAAAAAATAAGGTTATTAATGTATCAACATTGGAGAAACCCTTCCAGTTTCTGATACAGAAACCAAGTAGTCGAGTGGCAGCCGACGAGATATTGAGTATGTGCTCAGTAAACGTTAGCTTGGTATCAAATATGACTCCAAGGTCTCTATAAGAGGTGCATCTGTCTATAACCTGACCATTGATGTTATAATTATCATAAATTAAATAAGTCATAACTTTACATTTCGAAACATTCAGACTGAGACAGTTTCGTGAACACCATGACGAAATTAGAGCTAAGTCATCTTGCAACATGACGCAATCCTCGACTGTCTTGACTGACGTGCAGATTTTGAGGTCATCAGCGAAAAACAAATGGAAACACTTCAGTTCAAAAGACAAGTCATTAATAAATATTAAAAACAATAATGGACCTAGATTTGACCCTTGAGGTACCCCAGACGTGGCCCGATAGTAACTCGACCTATGACCACCATATTCGACAAATAACCTTCTATCCCTCAAATATGAATTCATGAGCGACAGCATTGCATCAGACATACCCACTGTTTTAAGCTTATCCAGAAGTGCATAATGATCAACTTGATCAAAAGCCTTCTGAATATCTGTGTAGATGACATCAACTTGTCCCTGACCGTCCAGTACTTCAGAAATGTATTGAGTAATTAGAGCCAAGTTGGTGACCGTAGATCTGCCTCTCATAAACCCATGCTGATTAATAGAGACTGCACTCCTGACCGAGCAGTAAACCGTTTCATAAGCGATGATCTCAAACGACTTGCTGAAATTGCACAGGATTGCTATTTGGCGATAGTTGATAATATCAGAGATATCTCCACTTTTGTGGATAGGACATATTTTAGAGGTCTTCCAGATATTTGGATATGTCTCTGATTTTAGAATTAGGTTGAATATGGAAGCCAGCGGTTTCGCTAGTATATGAATGCAATCTTTAACGAAAAAACTTGGAATACCATCACATCCAGACGTCATTTTGTTCTTTAATCTTTTCGAATCCCTAATTACGTTTTCTTCACTTATATTTTTTAAAGAAATGATATCGGTAGAATTATTTGTTGGAGGAGATGACCCTAGTACACCAGACGGGATAAAAACTGTTGAAAAGAAGGTAGCAAAACTGTCCACTATATCCTGAGGCGTATCGCAGACATTGCCGTTAAGCGTCATCCTGGGGGGGATTCTAGATTGCTGTTTTTTGATCTGGGCAAATGACCAGAATTTGCTAGGATCATTGACAATGGCATCCTCAGCCGATTGGACGTAAGCGGAGTAGGCAACACTGATCTGGTTCTTAATGAGCTTCCTAAAATTACTGAACTGATCATAAGAAAACTTAGTACCGTCACGTTTCCAGTTCCTTCTTGCTATGTCCTTCTTCTTGATATTAAGTATAACACTTTTACAGTTATAAGCGGTTATAAGATTAGCAGACAGACCGACAAAGAGACAGACAGCCAGAAATGAGTGACCTGGTCTTTCGTGATGTACATGTCATATAACATCCAAATAACGTAATATCTCAATACTTTCCTCCAGTAGGCGTGGGAAGTGCACTTGACCCCAACTATAAGTACTAGATGATATAGATGCTCACCAATAAGAGGTCCAATAGGTCCGATTGGAATTTCCATATCCGTACCACACGTGAAAAAGGAACAATCCTCTCTCTTTAAATACATTAAAGCTTTCTGTAGTTCTAAAAACGTCATATTGAAATTTATTCCTGTGAGGATAGCCTTTACATTTGGGTCATCTTGAAGGTATTTCGTCATTGCTTCAATACTCTCTTCGATTGGATATTCCTGAAATGAGGCAGTTGTATTTTATGACGCAACGTTCTACGTTGACTGTACTATGTCCTTATGAAGGTGTAATGGATTACGCATGCATCTAACACAATTCAGAGATTAAGCAACTCAAACAGATAAGAAACAAAAGAATTTTAGTGCAAAGTCTTTGAACCCGTTCAAAGAAGACGTGTTCAATATCAAAAGATTGTGCAAACGATAACGTGGAAATGCAGCTAAAATTGAAACTTTCCTGGTACATATGGTGGCGCATGATATATTTAGGTATTCTTGTTGAAAACAAGAAACGTAAAAACATAAAACTCAACTGAGTGAACTTTATTATCGAAGAAACAACGGCGTCAAATAGGTTGATTCTACACTTCAACGCTGTCACCGGCGTTTCTGAGAAATAAGTTAGCTACGAACACGTTCAACAAAAAATTAATTACTCGTACTACCCGCGTCTTGAAGAGCAGCGTTAAAAATACAAGCAATGTTTACATGTAGCAGACATAGAGAAGGGTGACATTTGGTTTCATGTTCTTGAGACTCATCTGTGCGGTGCAGCTTAAGCTGAGGCAGCACTGAATTACTTACTGGTGGAGGAGCTACAGTAAATCCCGCATTTCTAATCTGTGCTCGAACATTCTCAGTAACCATTGCATAGAGCGTTCCTTCAAATCTCTTCTCTTTCAGATGATCAATAACTGTATGTTGTGGATTTGTTACATCTTCGTCTTTTGCATCAAATTTGTTTAATCGTAAAAGTTTTGCTAGATCTTCACTTTTTGCAATAGAGTTGTTTGTCACGTAGTGTACGCGTTTTCCCATGGATTTGAGCGCGTTCAAACAGTCGGCCGCACCTTTGTGAACTTGATATTTTGTCCAAATGACACCTGTAATAACATTCAGAAAAGTTCTTAATGATGTTATGGCCAAGGCTAAAAGTATTGATAACTTCAAATTATCTAATTCTTAGTTCTGCTAGAAATTGAGTTTTATCTTATGGCTTTCGCGGAAAGTCGCCCAAAAGAAAGAGAAAAGGAAAGAAAATGTTTTACCAATATCCATCCGGCAAAAACATAATGAAATTGTAGAATACGATTTGGAAAAGAAGGATAATATCATTATAACGGGATCTATATCAAAAAAAAGTAGCCAAAAAGATACAGGTTATTGTAAATTACTATGCCACTTTTCAGAATTATTCAAAACCCCTCTCTCCTGCATGAGATTGGATGAGATTTGACTACCCCCCCCAAAAAAAATAACTCCAAAAATACAAAAACTTCTCGATTTCAAAATTATAAGTTTCATATCAGTCAAGTTCAACAATAGTTGTTTCATTTTCTTCAGGAAATAGTTTTTCAATTCTCATTTTCATGTAAAAACAAGCAGAATAGGTATACAGGTACGTCTGTTATTTTTCAAATGTAAATGTGTAGGTTTGTAGAGGAACTTTGGAACGATTTTTTGAGAATTTGTCTCGTTTTGGTTTACTGAGCCGTACCTTAGTTGCAGATATTAATTTCTAAATCCTGTTGGAAAAATATCGCCTACAACATATGTTTCATAAACTACGCTTTGTAATTAGATTATTTTGCTTACCGTCCATATCAGACATAACATAGTCAAAAGACTTGAAGAATTCTCTCTGCTCTCCTTTAGAAACGTCAGCTAAGTTCCGCATCTTCAAGATCCGAATGACAGAATGCATAATATGCTAGTATGTTGACTTTCTTGCATGATAATGAATGCAAACACTCACAAAACGGGGGAGATACGAGTCGCATAATATCTATATTAATAACTGTTTGAGCTGGGAACATATCCGAACTGTATAATGGCGATAAAAACACTACCAGTCATCCACCATGCAGTAGACGGTACATAGCTGATCGGAAAAACTGAAATTAATTCTCAGTGAAAGGCTTACCGCTGTCGATTTCATCAGGGGCATAGGCGACAGCAAGTGAGATTTTTTCAGACAGGGGAAGGCCTTTGCAGCGACGCCCAGGTAGAAAAGCTTGATAGTATCGCCCTGTCAGCCTTTTCTGTGTGAGATTCTCCAGAACCGTCATACTCACTAAAACTCCTGAGTTTGTTCACCACACATTCTACCACGGTAATGCTTGCAACATTCCTTAATCTTTCCGTAATCTAGCCACACCGCTCCCTTGTCAATCCAAGTTTCAATATCTGAGATCAGCCTTCTAGTCTCTGGTCATGTGAGCGCGCATCTCTACTCAAACAGCAGTCGGCGGGATACCAGCCACCACCAGCACTGCATCGGTCAAGACCGTTCTGTAAGCCCAGACGACGCAGCACTACTCTTCGGCAGCTTCTAAGCATTAGCTGTATACATTTATTTTTCTTCAAGGCCTTATTGTACATAGGTGCTTCGTACGGTAAAATGTACTAAGTGACATATAAATCCGAACACCCAGTTTAAATGGTTTTATTTTAATAAAAGTTGGTGAATGTATTTATCGTACTGTAAATAACAAGTGAAAAAATTTTCAGCCTTATCAGTTGGACATTCCGGTTTTTATACTGCTTTTTTTAATTCACTAACGCTCTAAAAATGAATATTTCAGCCGCAGTAAAGAATCAACGTTGGCGGATTTTGGTTCTTGACATCCTTTACGATCGGTTACGATGCCTAGAGTACGGAGACCTGTACGATTTCGTCAACTTAGTGAGTTTGATAGGGGCCGTATAGTGGGACTTCAGGAAGCTGGACTTTCTTTTCGGGCAATTGCAGTTAGAGTGCAAAGAAGGATAGACACTGTGGTTAGGTGTTGTCAGGCATGGCTTCGAGAAGGCCGTACGCAAAGAGCAAGGGGCACTGGACGCCGCCGTAGAACAACAGACCGTGAAGATCGCCGTCTAAGATTATTGGCCTTAAGGGACCGTTTCTCCACTACCAGGTCCATTGCAAATGAATGGTTTGCAGAACACGGAAGACCTACTGGCATGCGAAGTGTTTACCGACGAATGAGAAGTTTTGACTTGTTTTCATACCGGCCACACTGGGTGCTCCCTTTAACTCGAGAACACCGACGTAATCGCCTTGAGTGGTGCAGACAATGGTCACTCTGGGATCAGGAATGGAACAGTATTGTCTTTAGTGACGGATCTCGATTTTGTTTAGGCATTCACGATGGTCGTGCCAGGGTTAGAAGGCGACGTGGTGGTGAAAGGACGAATCCACAGTTTTTTGTTGAAAGACATGTTCATCACACTGTTGGAGTTATGGTTTGGGGTGCTATAGCTTATGGTTCCAGGTCACCTTTAATCTTCATCAGAGGTAACATGAACGCGCAGTGTTATTTCCACGAAGTTCTAGAACCCCATCTTTTACCCTATCTTGACACCCTGGCAGATCCAACTTTCCAACAAGATAATGCCCGACCACATGTTGCAAGAGTCACAATAGACTTCTTTCAACATAATGATGTCACATTGTTACCATGACCACCAAGATCTCCCGACTTATCCCCAATTGAGCACGTGTGGGATATGATGGGTAGGAGATTGCTCAATTTGCAACGTCCTCCTCAGGCTCTAAAAGCACTTCGAGAGGAGTTGGTGGTTGCCTGGAATGAGATACCACAGGAGGACATTGACCATCTGATCAGAAGCATGCCTAGGCGCGTTGGAGAATGCGTAGCACATCAGGGTGCATCCACACATTATTAAAGGTCAAGGGGCTTTAAAGCAGTGCAATCATTTTGAAATTTTTATCATTTACTTATTATGCTTCATTAAGTACTTATACAAAATTTTATTAAAATAAAACCATTTAAACTGGGTGTTCGGATTTATATGTCACTTAGTATAGAATTAGATGCCGCTGTCAAAATCTTACGCCATTCGGTCACCATCAGATGGAATTGGCCATGTTAGGGATGCAACTTAGTACTTAATTGCATTTGGCGTTCTCTACCTTAACAGTCAGAGAGGTTAGTTTCTTTTTGCCAGAAAGTTTATCCATTTCCGTTTCCTCAGGAGATAACTTCAAACCATTTTCCTCCATCCATGTGGTAATTATTACTACTGTATATGCCAAAAGCCTTTACGAGTGACCGTCATCGTCAGGTCGTCGGCATACCCTATCAGTCGAATTTTCCGAAAGCGTCTGCAACCGAAGGACCTTATCGTAGAGCACGGAACAAAGTAACGGCCTTAGGGCGGTGCCCTACAACACTCCTATGGTTACCTTTATCGTCTTTTGACCTATAAATGAGTGTCCTCTCTTTACAATAGCTCCTTATTATGTTCAGTAAACAGCTAGTGCTTCGTTGCTCAGAAGTATCACCTATTTTCTGCCAATGCATTCTTAACGTCAAAAGCAACCATAAAGCAAAGCTCATTGCTACTGCAGCTTTCCTAAGAAACTCAACATACACAAATCTATATTTAACTTCCCTATCGGTGCGTTGTCGAGGTTTGGGGATGAGATCCAAGCCAGACTCCTTCCACACTCCTGTTCTCAAACATTCATCCACGATTTGGTATTTTAGCTTGTATTGGTGCTTTACCTGTTCTCAGGTGCACTGTAGCTTCTTCCAGCCGACTCATGGTGAACTTTGGTACGTTCAAGGTTTCTTCAAATTCCGACTTGGTGAGCAAACACCTCGGAAACAATCCCTCCCTCCGTTGTTGTTCGGTACCCAGATCTGTGAGTTTTAGCATTTTCATAGCAGTCTCGTATGCGATGATGATGTTTGGGGACACATCATCATCAGCTGTTCTAGTACCTTCCTGGCATTTTTATGGTGTATTTTATATTCAAGCATGAGGATACTATTTTTTGTTCCAAATTCTTCAAGCAAGTCTTATGCAACTATTTAAATTTGCTTATATTATTTTCATTGCGTTGCTTCTTTCCGCTCTCCTGTCCTTTGTGGCTTTGATAACCCGGAATCCCTCGTCCTCAACATTTCCGAGCTGAAGTTCGGATGAACCAGGTCGCACGTTCTCTACATAGCCTCCTCACCCTGTACAAGGCCCAGATATCACCTAACGTCGAGTACGCTGTTTGTGATGCCGCCGCCTCGTCTACATTATGCTTGCTCGATGCTGTTCAGAGGGAAGTTATTCCACTAATCGATGACTCTTCTCTAACGGACAGTCTCTGGACCCTTTCGCAGCTCTCTTCCAGCACAATGTTGATAGCCTCCCATCCTAACGATGACGAACTTTGTACATCCAAAACTGGCCGATACGACAGCTTCCTTGTCTCTATTGTATCAAGATTGTGTAACAATCTATCGGAGGAGACTTTTTCCTGTTCTACTAACCTTAGGCGGTTCAAAAATCAATTAAAAAAGTTTCTATAAGCTCCTCATAGCAGCCACAGTATAAAGGAAAGATGTGCAGTTTGCTTATCAGTCCCATATGTTCGTTTTTTGCTTAGCATCATATAGCGACTTAAAGGTTAATCTCGATAATACTTATGTCCTATGCGCTATGAATGCCAAATCTTATTCCAAAAGCAACATCTTTAAGCTAAAATATGTACGTGGTACAAGTTTGCAGCCCACCAACCATGCTTGCGAAATGCAATTGAAGTGACTTACTTAAACAGAAGAACAAGACAGTCGTCGTGCTATTTCTTTGTATTTAGATGGCATTTACAGCGTATTCTTGTGATTTTCCGACAAAACCGATCATACGTTAGACGCCTTCATATTAACTAAACCTTAGTATAGTATGGAACCCTGCTATGTGGACGCATGTAATTTTTTTGAGAAGGTGCAAAGCTTTTAAATTTTTGTCTTTTAAACCGAGAGCACAAATCCGCCCTCAAGCAGAGCTGTTGCGAAAACATCATTTTGCTAGTTTAGATAACAAAAGGAAAGTACGCTTTCCTGTATTTCTCTACGAAACAGACCATAGTATTTACGATTGCCCATCTTCCACATAACGAACTAAGTCACTATTACACTCACCTCTATATGCAATGCATTTATGTTAAAACAATCTTCAGGACTATCTTGATGTATTTAATACAAAATAATCATACATCAATCAAACTTGTAAAAGTGTGGCTTAGTTAGTGTACTGCTTTACATTGTTATCTTGATGTTCTCCCACCAGTAATTGGTATATCTGTTGGTGTTGTATAAATGAATAAATAAAATGTGCGGCAATGGTAAAAAGTTATAGAAATGTATCAAGACATAAACAACAATTTAAGACATGGTCGAGTGTTAAGATATTGTAGATATTCAACACTTAACAATCATACACTTGGCCGTATATTAATTCCCAACTCTAGTTTTGCCTTATTAGATTACACTGACCTCGTTATAAGCATATTATTATTGTATGGCTATTTTGATAATCGATAATATCTGATACGAACAGTAAGTAAACATACCTAGTCATTGCAAATATTTTATTTTATATATTTTATATACGAATGATAGCTTTGTTGAGTGTTGGATTAAACGAAAATCGATATACGTACTTAGGATGAAATCTCATCATGCATCTGCTCTGAATCTTGTTAGTTATTACGGATATACAAGGTAATTTAACTAAGCACGCCAAGGTATTTAATATCACATATGTGAGGCACTACTGAATCAATTTAGTTGAAATTTCACATAGCTAAGTTACTTCACGGAGGGTTAAAAAATTCAGGACCAAACTTTTTTCACTTTCCTGTTTTTCATCAGAATCAACATCTTTTAATAATAATAGTAATAATAATAATAAATAGAAACGGGTCATATAATTTTCAAGATCAGACCTGATTCATATACAGGATTACAGAGTGGCGACAAAGGCCACTACACGGTACATTTTTCAACGCGCTCAATAATGAATACATTGACCATGGAACTTTTCAATTATACCTAAAACAAGGATACTTGTTTCCTGAAACATAGGGTGCCTTACATGCTATCGAAGATCAAGTGGTCCCTACCAGAGCATA